ATTCCTACGGTTTGCACCGTCTGTGAACGCACCCCGACTCAGTGTACTTGCGGTGCGGCGCTATATGCTAGTGCTATTCATTGGTTGTTGGACTCACATGTGCCGTGATGAAAACACAAGGGTAAGTCAGTGACACAGGGCCGTTTACATTTGACATAAAGTATAGACACACGTTCTGCAGCGCATTACAGTTTGTACTTATGAGCAGAGATGGGACAACTCAGTTCCCATTGAAACCCATGTAAATCTTGTCTGCATTGGAGTCAAAACATCCTGTGCAGTGTACAGGATATAATATATAATTATATATATATATATATATATATATATATATATATATATATATATATATATATATATATATATATATATATATATATATATATATATCAGGGACGTGCGGTGAGGTTTGTGATTGGGGAGGCACTGACTTTAAAAGTCAGATTTACAATCATTATTCAAATAAAATAGCATTTAATCACCAATGCAATGACATCCACAAACTTTATATACTGTAAAGATAAGAGAACCCAGCTTCTTTTAATAATCTCACAACAAATCTAGCTGCTGACTCTGCTCCGCATCAAACAACATCTTTAAGAAGCGCAGGTGCGAGAGACGCGAGGAGAGAGAGACGCGAGGAGAGAGGAGCAGAGAGAGACAGAGAGGAGCAGAGAGACGGAGACGCGAGGAGAGAGAGACGCGAGAGAGAGGAGCAGAGAGAGACAGAGAGGAGCAGAGAGACGGAGACGCGAGGAGCAGAGAGAGACGCGAGGAGAGAGACGCGAGGAGAGAGGAGCAGAGAGAGACAGAGAGGAGCAGAGAGACGGAGACGCGAGGAGCAGAGAGAGAGAGAGAGCAGAGAGACGGAGACGGAGACGCAGAGAGAGAGACGCGAGGAGAGAGAGACGCGAGGAGAGAGGAGCAGAGAGAGACAGAGAGGAGCAGAGACGGAGACGCGAGGAGCAGAGAGAGACAGAGACGCGAGGAGAGAGAGACGCGAGGAGAGAGGAGCAGAGAGAGACAGAGAGGAGCAGAGAGAGACAGAGAGGAGCAGAGAGACGGAGACGCGAGGAGCAGAGAGAGACGGAGACGCGAGGAGAGAGAGACGCGAGGAGAGAGAGACGCGAGGAGAGGAGAGAGAGAGAAGAGAGAGAGAGAGAGACAGAGACGCGAGGAGAGAGAGACGCGAGGAGAGAGGAGCAGAGAGAGACGCGAGCAGAGAGAGACAGAGAGGAGCAGAGAGAGACAGAGAGGAGCAGAGAGAGACAGAGAGGAGCAGAGAGAGACGGAGACGCGAGGAGACAGAGAGACGCGAGGAACATAAACAATAATAATTTAAACAAGTTGCAGAACTCTTGAGCAGTGTTTGAATCAGTGTTTTTCGGAAAAGCACTACTTTGCCGGTATCTGTCAATGTTCAACATAAAACACAGATTAACAAACTCCTCCCCCGCAGCCCGGACTAACCTCGTAAGTCCAGTGGTGGTCTCCCAGTCTATATTAATTCTTTCTTTGTTTGAAAGTCCAATTGAGAAAAAAAATCTTCATTCAAATCATCCATTTTCCAGCAAAAGAAATAGCATTTTGGGATGATTGTTTGTTAGCAACTCTGGTATGAACTTTATGCTCACTATCATCCCTAGCGGTGAGGCACAGATACCGCCTGCCTCACGCCAAGCTTTTTCCTTGTGTGTTCATCTACGATCAAAAGACTTAAACTAAATATAAATTGTACACACATACGTGCAATACACTACTAAACACTAAGAGGAGTTTAAAAAATGTTTTTAAAGCAGGATATTTGAAACAAACGGTGATATATCAACTGCACGAGCTGAGTGCACTCAGACACACACACACACACTGTGAGGGAGCGGTCTGAGGTGAGGCACGCAGGAGCGCTGCCTCACCTCGTCTCTTTGAATAGGAATAACGGGATTTCGGCGATTTTGACTTCAGAAATGATCAAAACTGATGGGAACCGTGCCGAATATACATTAAAAGCATAGGACAGTGGATATAAATTATATATTTAAACTAAAATAATTATTAGTTTCCAATAATGGCAGGTGAGGCTCTGCCTCCCCTGACTGCACGTCCCTGATATATATATATACCACGTATTGTGATTTGTAGCTCGTAGTGAAAAAAAATATTTATTTGAATATCTTGCAAAAAGTAAAATGAACTGAACTTTGAACTAGTTCAGAATTAAAATTGAGAACTTCGAACGTGAACTGTTCACTTTGAGCATGTATGAACTGAACTTGAACTAGTTCAGAAAAGCTGTGAACTGGCACAACACTGGCCAAAGCTTTACTGTCATTGGGCCAGAGCAAAATTAAACAAATGTGACGTCACACGTCGGCTACACAGCCAGGCCAGCCTAGCAGTGCACCCAGTGTAGCTTCCCCGGTTGAAATGAGTGGTCTCTCCAACTGATGGTTCATACACGTTTTTATTTTTCCTTTTATATGAGCTGTAACGATGTGATTTTACCTTACTACTTTTTTAACAATAATTGATTAGCTTGTTATAGTTATACACTAATGAACACTTAGTTCATTGTGTGTGTGTCTTTATTCTCTCTAAACTCCATAAACGTTACGTTGCTAATTTACATACTGGGGCACTGAAAATCTTCAGAATCTGCAAATCCCTTATTAGCTTGATTGTTTTTTCTGTCTACACAAAAATAGTTGGATAAAAATAAGCTAATTACTCGAAGCATCTACATGGTGGTGTCATCAATAATAAATAAAAAAATACATTTAAAACCAAACCAGTAAACAGTTGTAAGTTCTTTCGGCCTGTTAATAAATGAAAAAGATAAAATAAGATAAGAAATAAGATTTTCCTGTTTTGCTGATTCCTTGGTTAATTCTACATCTTGAGAAAATCAAACATGACGCTCTTATTACAAACTAGTGCTTTGTTTTGTTCCAGGATTAGCAATAGTCAAACATGGATTAACTTTGCCCTGGTTCATATTTACTTTCAGGGCTTAACTGCATCTCACCTACCCCTCAGTCAGAATTTACTACTATTGCTACGGCAGCAAAGCAAATTTCATTTCCCCAGTGCTACAAAAGGCACCGTGTTTCCTATTTTTTTGGCAGGAAACAAAACCAAAACGATAAAACACGTGCCCATCAACACGCCTATATGCGTCCAAATACATGTTTTCTAATATATGCAAGGAGTTTCCCTGTGCTCTATAATCCTTTTGTAGGCTTTGTCTCAGTAATATCCGGGTTTTGGTGGCTAAACAGTGGAGCAACATTAACGCAGAAGAAATTGTTCAATCCAGACGAACTGGAGAGCACATGCAGTCCACATGCGTCTTTGCCTAATCAAATTAAATTGGAGTATGCAATTTATTTTCAGTTGTGTTTTGTTAATTAAAAAAAAATCCTAGACGAATACCTAGAAGTGTCTAACATGCTTTGGTCGATTTGAGTCTCTCCGGTTTGAATTGCTCTTAGTCTATTCTATCCTGCGTTTTTTACTATTTGGCTAATTTAAATCATGGATATATCAAAATAATCCGATAGAGATGGCATAGACCAAATGCATTTTTTAATGACCAGTTGCTTTTTGCAGCTCCAACTTTGCACAAGCATCAATTCAAACCATAGCACTTTTTTCTATTGAAGTGAGGAATAATCAAATCACAATATAAAATTCTATTAGACCTAGTTTTACGAGTTGTAATCCTGCCGTGCTAACATTCAAATTGACCATTCACACGTTTCCCTATCTGTTTTTGCTTCAATGAATCTTCCATCTTTAGCTTCTTGCTTCCGGGTCCAGCCCTTTTCTAAGCCATGTGTTTGACAAATATATTTTTCCCCCATTAAACGTTTACTTTTTTATGTTTTTGCACCAATCACCTGTAACAATCTCGCACTCAGCCCCACCTCCACCTCCTTATGTTGACGTTACATTTATACAAGGCCACGTATTTAAATTTTCTATCCACAACTAACGACCCTTGTTTAAAAAATAATTATTATTATGTTTTGTGCCTTCAAATGTGTTACCTCCCCTCCTCCTTTGCTGCTAATTTAAATACCCCTTGAAACCTATAAATCCTTTGGCATTACACGTTATCTGTCTAAAAAAATCCATAGAAGATATTCCCACCATCGTGGAACAAAAAACACAATTCTGCTTTCTTTTGTCTTGCAAAATAGGGCTCCAATGTTCACTGATATGACAAAGCAAGCATGTTCCCCCCCTTCTGAATCTACTATGAAGCATTTCCCCGCACACGCCAGCTTTAGTTAAAAATCATCTCAATTTGACCCAAAAAATGTAATCGCTTTCTTGTTTTGAGCTCCTGACATGCCTGCTCTGTGACAATCCAATCAGAGTCCACTGCACATGCAACACCACAGCTTGGGTTTCTTCAAATAAATGCTGTTATAAATGTAGAATAACGCACCTTATCTGCAGTTTCATCCAGTCTTGTTGGATGCAGGCGATTGGATGTGAGTGGAGCAGGCAGCAGCAGCAGCAGGATAGTGGAAAAGCAGTGTGCAGGCTCCGCCCTTTGGACACATGAAGCTCTCCTCCTCCTCCTCTTCCTCCTTTCTCTTTGTGCGTTTCTGTCTAGATTTCTCTCTGTGGCTCAAACGCACAGGCGACAACTGCTCGTCTCACCACAGGAAAAACAAAATGTTATAGCTCTTGTAAATAGGGATGTCATGAATATTTGTTGCCGTATTAACCTGCTCTTGATTAACCAGTGAATGTATGTTCCTGCCTATATTTCAGTTTTTAAAAAGATAATAAGACGCCTGTTTTGGTAGTTATAACCTTGTATCAATAGTAGTACAATTTATTCCAAGTGACTAATTTATTGTCCCTCAGAGCAAAAATTGAAAGAAACAAGTGTAATGCAAACAAAATGGGCACAAACATAAAATAAAATCTGCTAAACTTGGTTAGCAACAGAAAGGACAAGGTCGCTAAATTCAAATTAAAGCATGTACCTCCATGTCCACTGTCCTCTTGTGGAGACAGCAGCACAGACTGAATATGGCCTAGAATGAGGCATGAGGAGCTGTTGAGGGTGCGGTGGTGGGGCAGTGCGGGCCACATGTTTGTGGAGTTGGGGCTGCGCAGACTCATGTACAGCTGCATGTACAGATGCTGAGTTCGGTGTGGTTTGTGGAGTCACAAAGCGCTTCACAATTGTTGTGGGCATTTGTCCTCTCACTCCACACACAGTGATACCATGCACCTGCTGTATGGAGACCGTGCAGGTGCATGGCAGACCTATTGTACATGTTTTTAGTGGTAGGAAAAACACAGAAAGGCTTGGAGGTGGAATCCAACCCAGGACCTTCTTGCTGTGAAGCCCGGGCTGTGCTCATGGGAGTCTCCCAGTGGCTGAAATGTAATGAATTTGAGCTGAATTTAATACTGTTTGTAATTCAATAGACAGACAGGCAGACAGACAGACCGACACATACATAGATACATAAAGTATTTGTTGGACTAGGCCGCTACCTTTTTACAGTTCTTTGAACAGCAGCCTATAACGATGCAGCTATGTATTATAATGTATATATGATGTATTTTTAGTGTGGTCGAGTATATTAGCAGGGTTTATCGACTTATTATCACTGGACATCAAGTTTCAAACAAAACACTGTTCAAAACAGTTGTCTAATTTATTTTGCACCAAAGCTGTGGCTTATGTTCAAGTGTGACCGATATTATTTGTAAAAATTGACTTTCTCTTAAAATGCTGATGTTGTTTATTTACAGGTGCACTTAATAGTTCAGCAAGTACTGGTGATAGACAACTAATGGCTTATTCTGTTTAACAAATGACTGTATAACAATGGACTCATGGATTTGATGAACAAAACTATATCCACTGGTCCGTGCTTGCATTTCTGACCGATTACATGCAAAATTGTCCACTGAGGCTATTCTTTATGATCTAATTTGAATACTCAAATTCCTAAGAGGATGTGCATAGGGATGGAGCTGTTTGAAAACCGCACCCAGATCAATTATGCAAAAAGCTCTGCAAATATTTGACCAAGTGTAATAGAAAATAGAGGTTACTTCTGGAAAGTTTTAAACAGGAGCTTGAGAATATTTACTTTCCTGTTGTTTTAGAACGTGAAATATACTTAGGACCACTGTTGAAAAGGTTAAACTTTGACTTTTGTTTTAGAAATCAGCTCTGCTTGCGTACAAGTCTCTCCATGGCCTCACACCAAACTATATCTCTGACATGTTAGTGTCATATGAACAAACTCAAACTCTGAGGAGCACAGGGACTGGACTCCTGCTGGGACTCTGAGGAACACAGGGACTGGCCTCCTGCTGGGACTCTGAAGAGCACAGGGACTGGACTCCTGCTGGGACTCTGAGGAACACAGGGACTGGCCTCCTGCTGGGACTCTGAGGAGCACAGGGACTGGCCTCCTGCTGGGACTCTGAAGAGCACAGGGACTGACCTCCTGCTGGGACTCTGAGGAGCACAGGGACTGGCCTCCTGCTGGGACTCTGAGGAGCACAGGGACTGACCTCTTGCTGGGACTCTGAGGAGCACAGGGACTGGCCTCCTGCTGGGACTCTGAGGAGCACAGGGACTGGACTCCTGCTGGGACTCTGAGGAGCACAGGGACTGGCCTCCTGCTGGGACTCTGAGGAGCACAGGGACTGGACTCCTGCTGGGACTCTGAGGAACACAGGGACTGGCCTCCTGCTGGGACTCTGAGGAGCACAGGGACTGACCTCCTGCTGGGACTCTGAGGAGCACAGGGACTGGCCTCCTGCTGGGACTCTGAGGAGCACAGGGACTGGCCTCCTGCTGGGACTCTGAGGAGCACAGGGACTGGCCTCCTGCTGGGACTCTGAGGAGCACAGGGACTGGACTCCTGCTGGGACTCTGAGGAGCACAGGGACTGGACTCCTGCTGAGACTCTGAGGAGCACAGGGACTGGACTCCTGCTGGGACTCTGAGGAGCACAGGGACTGGACTCCTGCTGGGACTCTGAGGAACACAGGGACTGGACTCCTGCTGGGACTGAGGAGCACAGGGACTGGCCTCCTGCTGGGACTCTGAGGAGCACAGGGACTGGCCTCCTGCTATATGGGGAGGCAGTGTTCTTCTTACTGCATTGTGAATATTTACAATTTGAATGCCTTGTGCCTTGTTTCTTTTCTTGTTTAGTTAAGCACTTTGAGTTGCCTTGTGTATGAACTGTGCTATATCAATAAACTTTCCTTGTGTTGCCATTATCTGAGGATTTCTTCTTATCTGAGGATTGGTATTAGTGTATTGAGTTTGCAAGGTTCGAGATATAACAAATGGAGCACAAAAAAACAGTACAGTATATGTCTCCTATAAATAGTTCAAAAGCTGTGAAAAATATGATTCTGCCAGACATTGTTTTGGCACAAATGAGGGAAAAAATCTGCTCCTCAGTATGGTTGGGGTTAGGGTTGGACTCTAGGGATTTGTAATGACATAGAGGGAAGGTACAGTTCCAACTCATCAACAAATGTTTCAATACGAAAGCCAGAAAACTCAGTTAGATGATTAGAGGTACTTAACTTTGTCATAAAATCCATGTCACTAGTTCATCGCTCTCTAAACAGTTCATGCATTTTTTCCCCCCAAAGTGAGGATCTCCCTCACTCAGCCTAAAGCCTCAGATAGTGACTCGCATGGCTCTTTATTACAAAATAAAAACAGCATGTTGAGATCCGAACATTTTAAAAGACAAACACAATGGACAAGTTTACACATAAAAAGAGTTTGGTAAACCTGCTTTAAAGTCAAATTTCAATGATGGAAAAAAATTAAATAAAATATTGGGTTAAAAAAGCCAGTCTTTATTCTGTCTCCTCCTCGGAGCACTGGACATGAATCAGATTAGAGTTGTGACGTGGGCTTGGGATCAACTTCGGACCGTGTGTCAGAGCTACAGCTGTTTTTGTTAAATGGCTGGTTTAATATGAGCTGCTAATCTACCGCAGAGAATGACAGATGTGAGTAATTTTACAGAAATGTGACCACAGAGAAATGCAATGGAAAAATGCCTCAATTAATGACACTTGTTTCTTTCCCGCTGGCATCATAACAAGGCCCCCATGAAACTAGATGAAGAGGGTATCAGTGTATGGTGCGTTTGGAGGATTTGAAGAAGGCTTGGTCAAACTTGCATGCGAAAGCCAGATCCCATCTGAAGCTATGCAGGGAAGGGCCTGGTTAGTACTGTGATGGGAGACCTCTGGGAACACCAGGTGCCACAGTGGGGCGGCTGTGGCTGTAAAGTGCCAAACTTCCATGTGAAGAGTATTTGAGTGTCCTGAAAAGCACTGTATAAAACCGATGCATTAGTATTATTGGTCCATACGACTGATTTAGACTCAGTTCGAAATTGGTTCACATAGTCCTGTTGTACTGTAGTTCTGTTTAGGTATGGACCTTGTTTAGCCCTGGTTTGTAGTCTTAGCACGACTGAACGCATAGTCTAGAGAAGCGTGTTTTCTCTGTCGCCATCTGTTTGTGTGGAGCAGCTGCTGCCATCCGGATGAGCTCTGGGATTAAACAACAGGTCAACAGCACCGCTGCTTTAGTCCTGCTTCAGTCCTGCTTCAGTCCTGCTTTAGTCCTGCTTCAGTCCTGCTTTAGTCCTGCTTCAGTCCTGCTTTAGTCCTGCTTCAGTCCTGCTTTAGTCCTGCTTTAGTCCTCCTTTAGTCCTGCTTCAGTCCTGCTTTAGTCCTGCTTCAGTCCTGCTTCAGTCCTGCTTTAGTCCTGCTTCAGTCCTGCTTTAGTCCTGCTTTAGTCCTGCTTTAGTCCTCCTTTAGTCCTGCTTCAGTCCTGCTTCAGTCCTGCTTTAGTCCTGCTTCAGTCCTGCTTCAGTCCTCCTTTAGTCCTGCTTCAGTCCTGCTTCAGTCCTGCTTCAGTCCTGCTTTAGTCCTCCTTTAGTCCTGCTTCAGTTCTGCTTTAGTCCTGCTTCAGTCCTGCTTTAGTCCTGCTTCAGTCCTGCTTTAGTCCTCCTTTAGTCCTGCTTCAGTCCTGCTTATCTCCTGGTTTAAACCTGTTTTGACCTTGTTCACACTTGATTTAGTTCTGGTTTGTACATGATTTAGTCCTGTTTTGGACGTTGTTTAGTTCTAGTTTAGTCCTGTTTGGACCTGATTTAATTCCACTGGGTAACAAAAAAATATTTTTTGAAAATAGTCCAGGGTTTTCCAGCTGAATAGAATAATTTTGAGGCTCTGAGTCCGAAAATGACCTTGGTTTTGCTCAATCAGGTCAGGATTTTTTGCGTTCATAGCGACGTCGCTTTTTGATCCTTCGATGTCGGCTCTTCCTATCATTGTGAAGCATTGTTGTTTTTTACGCAAATCAATTTTGCGTAAAAAACAAAATTCTGCTGATCATCAGCTGAGAAACCCTTGACGTTTTTTCTGTTTTCCTCAAGAAATAAAAGTCAACGTATCCAAAGTCATTCAGTTTTTATTTACTCGTTATTATGAATTCTGCTTATTTGATAAGCAGAATTCATAATAACGTAGACGTACATAATCCGTAACACTATGGCTGTATCTCACAAAGTTGATAGAGCAAAATGCATGTGATATTCGGACTCAGAACACCAAAATTAGTCTAAATCAGTTGAGAAACCCTTGACCATTTTTTGGCTGTCAACTTGTGTTCTAGTCTAGTACTTGTTCAAGCCTGATGAAGACCTGGTTTAGTCCTGTTTTCACCTGCTTTTTACCTATTTTTTTTTGACCTGATTCATCCCTAGATCACAACATATTAGCAATCTGATCTTAGACCAGGTTATGACCTGGTTTTAATATTGGCCCCTGTACACACCGCAATAATTCATCTTTTAATTAACAGATTGTTTAAATTTAAATTTAATAGCAACATCCTACCTCTTATTTTTTTTGTATTTGTCAGTGTCATTTTAATGGTACTTTTCCAGTCTCAAGTTTTGACATACACTTATTTATTTATTTTCTATTGTGTTTCTGTTGTCACAGAACTATTAACTGCAGTTAGGCATTGACTATAATTGCAAGGTTCTTCTTGGATCATGAGTTACCCTGATATAGTATTATTTTACAGTATTTTTGCAGTAGTAGAGGGTGGACTT